TCTGACACCCAACCTTTTCTCCCTGTCCGGGTTGAAACCCCGGCTAAGAGAGGTAAAGGTGTGCACCCACGGGGACTGGAACTTCGGACCACATGCATAGTTGGCCAACACTCTAACGCTGAACCACCGATGCACGATATGTTGTATCAAACAAACGTATTAATACGGGAAAAGATATACATACGATGAGTGTTTTTGATGTTAGGTAGCCTAGATGAAAAGAGTGAAAGGATGTCTTCGATACGAACTTCATAACTGAAAGCATTCATGTGCATGATATATTTGAGATTTTCAGGAAAAACATGTTATTTTAGAAGATAAGAAAGTTTTCATCACTGTATTTCATAAATAAAGACTTTGCTATTAAGCTGCTCAAATCACAGTTGAAGGAACAGTAACGCTGTATTGATTGATTATTGAACAGTAAGCGACTTATATTCGTACAGGGTTTAACTGCAAACTTAGTGAACTGAGTAACTTGTTTCAATCACTAGGCTGTCCAGTGTTTTTTTATCCAACAGGATACGTTAGATTTACTGGATGTTTTACAGCTTGAATTATCCACCTACATCTTTCAGTCATGATCTGTACTGTCCAATCAATTTTGAATTGGTTTCAAAACCTACTGGTATATGAATTTCTTAGAGAAAATAGGAGATATATATATTATGGTTTAATAAAGCGTGCTTGTGATGGGATGAAATGGCTTCATATGATACATTCTCAAGAATTATTAATTTTAGTTGCCTGCATTCTAGTGGGAAGTCATGACCAGTGGGGTATGGTAGGTCGGGTGTGAGGATAAATACGCACTCCTGATGACATTGGCTAGTGGTCGCTCTATGTCATGAATTGGCGGTAGTTTAAATTCATGAGCTGGCCACTGAATCGTGTCCCAGTGGCCTAATGGTCCACAAGTTCACCTTGTAACAATAAGTTTCTGGGTTCGAACTCCCTGTGGTGAGTGCGTGCTGATGAAGAGTCTCAGACGTGGAGGAAACGGCCCCCAGATTTTCTGGTAGTCCTCTAACCGATGTTGGCTCATTATGAAATCCTATAAACCAGCACTTGAATATTATTTTTGCCTGCGGATTCTGGACAAGGGGTAAAGATTTCTCAAGAGAACACTGACAGTTCTACACTGTGTATAAATTCATTTTTCAGAATAAAACTATTATTATCATCATCATTAAGGTGTTGTAGTGTGTGTTGCTAACAAAACCTTTTAAGTAGTATACAGTGTGACATTTGAAAAATCTTGAAATGGAGGAGAGATAGATGCAGTTACAGACAAAGGAAATAAACAAAAATTAGTATTCAATATAAGAATCATGAAGTGAAGAAGCAGAACTGGTATGCTTTTATACAAACTGGAGTTTCCATGTAAACTTACCATATTTTATTATTACTATATTCTTCATTACAGTGTTTCAGGTATGCGCTTTATGGTCTGATCAGACAGACGATGGATTCAAAAATGCAAGTTAATGATTCCGATTATTGTATTACAACTGTTTCATTAATATTTAGTCACCACTTAAAACTTCATTTAATAATATCAAACATGTGACACTTGAAGACAAATAAATGCATATATGCGTCCTAACAAACAAACCAACACTTGAATAACAATGCGATGCTCACTAGCGACTTGCTCCATTCAGGTAGGTAGTTACCTGGGGTTCTAGTGAGAAGTCATGACCAGTAGGATGCAGCCGGTCGGGTGTGAGGACAAATACTCGCCAAAGACATTGGCTAGGGGTCGCGCTATGTCGTGAATTGGCAGAAGTTAGAATTCAAGGACTATTGGATCGGGTCCCAGTGGCTTAATGGTCTACGATTTAGCTCGCCTTGTAACCAGAATGTCCTGGGTTCGAACCTCGGTGGGTGAGTACTGTTATGGGATAGTCCCAAACTAGGACGAAACAGCTGTCCAGTACTTCCAGGTTTTCCGATAGTTCTCCAACTAATGCCAGCTCATGATGAAATCCTGTAACCAATCAACCAAATCTCTACAAACCAACACTTGGAAGAAATGTTCCTTTCAGAACTAGTAATAATAAGATTAATAGCACAGAAGAATATGTGAACAGTTTTTGAACATTTATCAATCCCTTCTACTAAAAAATGCACTTTAAAGAGCTTCCAGTGCAGCAGAGGTATGTTGTCTCTTCACTGCTACCCCTATTTTACGTTCGAGAAATAAAGATAGACTAACTGATTTTACCTCCTCTATGTGTATCTGTCAGTTTGACTGCAGCTGTGGAGGCAGCTAAATTGGGCATACAATTAGACATTATCGTATTTACGAAAATCATTCAGCATGGTTAAGTAAGGGACGAAAACAAGATCTATTCGTAGCTCTATTGTAGCACACCTTGTAGATAGTGAGCATAAAGTTGACGTCAATACAGCATTTAAAATTATCTATCCCATTCTCACTAATCTTAATTTTGCTTTACAAGTTCGTCTTATACACACAGCTGAAGCCATAGGAGTTCACCTGAAGAAGTCAAATCTGTGTGTTCAAAATAAATTTGTACAGCCAGTTTCCTTACCTAAGCCATTGTTAAATGAATGTATATACCGGACTACTTCTCCCCCACTACCCCTAAACCTTTAAAAATTATATTTGTCCAAATTATTTTATTAAGTTTCTAACTACTTCATCTTTAATTACATGTTACCATTGTCCAAACTGTTTTATTTTTCTTCACTAGTCTGTTGCGTAACCAGCTTGAGCACTCGCTTATTCCCTAATCATTCTTCATTTTTCAAACATTATGCAATATACAATCCACTTGTTATAACCATTTCCAACCTTTAGTGGTGTGAATTAATCTTTCTCGTTGATTATCGCCTCCTGCTCTCTGACAAGTTGATACTGCCTAATTATTGTTAATAAACATATCAGTGCCACTTGATTGGTAAATTGTTGTGTATTGTATTAAAAATGCTACAGGTATATATTAGAGTAGAGCCAGAGTGAGATGATGATCTAATCGAAAAGTAAGTATTTCTTTACTCAATCCTTCTACTTTCTAAATGTCTAAATGGAGATTTTTTCTATATTGAAATCTTCTAATAACCACTTAATACAAAAAGTTAAACTTGGAGGATCTGGACTTCGCCAAAGATATGTGTCTGATTTCCCATAAACTTGAAGATATGCAAGCGAAAAACAACAAGATGGCAGCAGAAGCATCGAAGATAGGACTCCAAGTAAGTATAGAGAAAACAGAGGTGATAAAGTTTCCTCGCAAACAGCAACAACAACAGACAACAATCAGCATAAATGGGAGGAATATGAAAGAAGCAACCTCCTCTACCCACCTGGGAAGCATAGTTTCAACTACAGGCCGACGGAACTGGTGAGGATATCAAAGCAGAGTGGATTGGGAAAGCAAGACAAGCTTTCATTACTCCCAAGTAATCTCAAGTGTGGAGATCAACAGAACTCCTCAATATGAAAATGAAAATAAGATCCGGATATTCAACTCCAATGTGAAGTCAGTCAGTGCTACTATACGGGTCAGATACTTAGGGAGTCATAAGGAGCATCTCAAACAAACTACAGACCTTCATCAACAGCTGTCTTCGCTCAATGCTACTCAAGATCAGATGGCCGGCCAGAAAAGATCAGCTACAGGGAGGGATCTCTGGGAGCTAACCTACCCAACAGGAACCGATTGTGCAACAAACAGGCAGGAAAAAATGGAGGTGGATTGGCCGTACTCTAAGGAAGCCATCAAGTGACATCACTGGACAAAGCCTCGAGTGGAACTTGAAAAGGAAGCGGCGAGTCGGTCGTCAGTGCGAAGGTGACTTGGAGGAGGTCATGTGAAGAGGGGGGATGAAAGCATGTGGGCAGACTTGGAGCCAGGTGGAAACTTTAGCAGAGAACCGAACGCAGTGGAGACGTGCAGCTGAAGCTCTATGTTCCTGTAGGAATTAAAGGAAATAATAATAAAGAAATAATATATAATAATACAAAAAGCTGTATCGATGTAGAGTGTGGTACTGAAGAGATTTATCAGTAGTATATAAAGAGATATTCATCACCACAAAAATATCAAATAACCGAGAGATAGATTCGACGTGAAAGACAGTAAATGAATCAGTGTCGCGGCAAAACATGGGATACACGAAGAAAAGACAAAGAAACACAATTTGAAGGACAGAAGTAGCACAAAACGAAAAATCTGTACAAATGCTGGTTTTCATATAGGGTGTACGTAATTTCCCTACTGATATCTGTCAGTCTCCTGTCTTCTACTGTCACACCAAGAGTGAACCAAAACAATCTATAGTAAAATTATATGGTTTGACTTACCTCTTGTTTACTAATATGGACTGGCCCAGCCATAACTTTTGTAAGTTAGTCATAATATTTGTGCGAAAACATCCATGGAAAAATCACCCTAATCAGATAATCACTACTGTACTTCATTTATTTCCTAGTGTAGATCCTCTCTGTAATGTAGTCACTAGATTGAAATACTTTAACTGGCAACTACACTCGAATGATTACCCCAATCACCTAGCATCATAATTCATAACTTCTAAAATTAGTTCATGCTTGTAAATATATAAAAATGTTTTTAAAAAATGGCAGAAATATGAAGTTGGTTGGAGGATTTCATCATGAGGTGACATCAATTAGACAGCCATTGGAAAACCAACAGCGAGTACTGGGACGGCCGTTTCGTCAACCTAGTTTGGGGCTTTTCATCAGGCCAGTCGATCGGGCACCAGAGGCGAAATGGTCTACGAGATCACTGGCTTTGTAAACAGAAAGTCCTGGGTTCCAACTCCCTGTGGTGGGTGCTTACTGCTGAATGGCCTCAAACTAGGACGAAACAACAGCCCATTACTCTCAGATTTTCCAATGGCTCTCTAAATGATGTCAGCTCGTGATGAAATCCTCCAACCGGTCAAAACAAAATCCATACAAAAAGACTAATATTTGAAAATATGAAATGATTCAAGAAATAGTTTACCTTCCGTGTGGATCATCATGACATAATTCAATATTTGGACGTCTATTGCGCAATTCTAATCGTGTTCTAGCCACTTTTAGAGGTGCTTGTTTATCAGAGATACATTTTTTCAAATATTCCATATTCTTTTCAACATCAAATAATTCTTGATTGACCTGAATAAATTTAGGAAAAAAAATTTGTAAAAATGGTAAGATGAAAATTTCAATTATTTTGCAGATTATAACGGATTGATAATGTTAATTCAAATTGAGGTTACAGTGAAGTGGCTACACTGAAACTTCTATCAGTGTACTGCACCTTGAGATAAAGAAGTCTTCTGAGGATACTTCTAAATGCGTGTTTTCATGCCCCAGGTAGAAGTTAACAAGAACACTACTGAAAAGATGATGAAATCAAATTCTATCAAACAAATTAAAACAAACAAAGGGGCATAAAAACGAAGAAACAGGCAATGAGTTTATGTTTTGGATGAGACTATAGGCTTTACCATTATTGATTTAGGTAAAAGTTCCCGAAATTCCAGAGCTATCGATTCTGACCGCCTCTCCTAGGTCATATATATTCAAACGTCTACAGTTCTTTCCACAGACGTGGTTTTTATGTTGTACAGATTTATTCTTAGCTGCTTCCAAAACGAGTATTTCTTTTTCTATAGTTTAGTTTGTAAAGGTTAGTTTTGTTTTAACGAGTTGACCAGGGAGGTTCATCCAGATGTCGCATGTGAGGATGGATGCCCCACTGACGATGTTGATTGGGGTTGCGCTAAATCACGAATTGGTAGAAGTTACAATTCATGGGTTGGCCATTGAATCGGGTCCCAGTAGCTGAATGGTATACTAGCTTGCCTTGTAACCTGAGGGTCCGCGATCAACTCGTAAAAAGAGTACTTTTTTAATATTCTACTGCAATCTGAAGCAGATTTTGGGTAGTTGGATGAAAAGCATCAACCATGAAAGCTCTAGCAACCAGTAAATGACATCTTCATTACACTAAACTTTAATCTTGTTCACTACATGACTTCTTTAGTAGTTCTGCTCCGTGTAACTAATGCAATAAAAGTCACTAAAGTTAGACTGTAAAGATTTTGTGGAGCATTCAAATTTTTTGACTGTTTCCGGTAAGCAGAAATTTTCTTATGTCACTTAACTATAACGCGAGACTATTTAAACACATGAACTAGTTAATATAATCTGCCATTTGATTTATTATTATGAAACAATATATGTAGAGATATTAAACAACTTTTATGACAATAGTCTAAAATAAGAGTGATGAAGAATCCCTTTGAGACCAAGTGACTTAACGGTAAACAAACTTGGTTTTGTAACCTGAAGGCACTGGGTGCGTACTGTAAAAGACTCATTGAACTAGAATGAAACCAGTGTAGTACTTCCTGGTTTACAGTGGTTCACTAAATGACATCAATCTTTGATCAAGCTTAAAACAAGTTAAATCCCTACAAAGTAACATTTGAAAATTCTCAAATTACATTGACTCGCCACAGGAAGGTTACCTGTGTTATGTCATTCACTCCTTTGTACTTAACAGATGCAACTACCCCTACAAAGCTAGGAGAACTACTTATTCGGGTACAATGAGAAGTGAAGGCCTTCTACTCATTAGCCCTTATAGTCTAACATTCTCAAGTTATTATTATTTCCTTTAATTCCTACTGGAACATAGGGTTTCAGCTGCACGTCTCCACTGCGTTCGGTTCTCTGCTAAAGTTTCCACCTGGCTCCAAGTCTGCCCACATGCTTTCATCCCCCCTCTTCACATGACCTCCTCCAAGTCACCTTTGCACTGACGACCGACTCGCCGCTTCCTTTTCAAGTTCCACTCGAGGCTTTGTCCAGTGATGTCACTTGATGGCTTCCTTAGAGCACGGCCAATCCACCTCCATTTCCTCCTGCTTATTTGTTGCACAATCGGTTCCTGTTGGGTAGGTTAGCTCCCAGAGATCCCTCCCTGTAGCTGATCTTTTCTGGCCGGCCATCTGATCTTGAGTAGCATTGAGCGAAGACAGCTGTTGATGAAGGTCTGTAGTTTGTTTGAGATGCTCCTTATGACTCCCCAAGTATCTGATCCGTAAAGTAGCACTGACTGACTTCACATTGGAGTTGAATATCCGGATCTTATTTTCATTTTCATATTGAGGAGTTCTGTTGATCTCCACACTCGAGATTACTTGGGAGTAATGAAAGCTTGTCTTGCTTTCCCGATCCTCTCTGCTTTGATATCCTCACCAGTTCCGTCGGCCTGTAATTGAAACGATGCTTCCCAGGTGGGTAGAGGAGATTGCTTCTTTCATATTCCTCCCATTTATGCTGATTGTTGTCTGTTGTTGTTGCTATTCGTGTTGACCAGGAATCTTCATCTTATCTGGATGCTTCTTCTGCCAACTTGTTGTTTTTCACTTGAATATCTTCAAGTTTGTGGGAAATCAGACACCTATCTTTGGCGAAGTCCAGATCCTCCAGGGGTTTAATGTGGGTCCAATATTCTCAGTTCGCTTAAAGTTTTCAGCCATTATAAGCTACGAAGAGTGTTGTTTTCATCTCATTGAAACATTCACTGTGTGTGATTTAGATTCATTCACGTAGTCTTCAGTAAGTGAGGCAAACTAATTGATTTTCAAACGAAAGAGAAGTTATGAGTGAGTATGGAGTTCTTGCCGATAACACTGGATGATAGTCACGCTAATATTAAGAATTAGTAGAAGTTAGAATTCATAGGCTGACTATTGAATTGGGTCCCAGTGGCTGAATGTTATACGAGCTCGCTGGCCTTGTAACCGGAACGTCCTAGGTTTGAACCTCCGAAATAAGTGATTACTGCAGACGAGTCCCAAACTAGGACGAAATATTTGGCTGTCCAGCTCTCCAATGCTGGTTTTCAATGCTTGTCTAACTGACATCTATCCGTGTTCAAAGCCTGAAATAATACATATGACATTAGTAGAGAAATAAATCGCATAGATATATGTACTTATGCTGTTCTCTCTTCGTTTCCGCATCAAATGATGTTTTTTGAAAACATGTTCTTACGTGAATGAATAAATATTTTGGCATGAAATTTTACTAAGAATATTGAGATGATAAAAGTTGAAAAGTTTGGCAATATATAATAAAATAACCTTAGCTTTCTCTTCATTGCCTTATTTTCAAAGTGAAAAATTATTTTAAAGTATTAGTCACTTCATTTATCTAATTTTATTACAGAGTTTTGTCTGAAATTTTAAATTTAGTGTACAACGTTAGTCGGTTAAATAATGAACTTTTAAACGACGGAAGTTATTATTGTTATTATTGTTCCCTTGGATTCCTAGTGGAACATAGGGCTTCAACTGCACGTCTCCACTTACCTATGTCCTCTGCTAAACTTTTCACCTGCATCCATGTTTGTCCATGTTGTTTCAACTCCTCTTCACACAATCTCCTCCATGTCACCCTTGCACTGATGTCCCACTCGCCTCTTCCCTTTCGGCCTGGTTCCACTCGAGGGCTTGACGCGCGATGTCACCCAGCGGTCTCCTCAGAGAGTGTCCACTTAGTGTCTCCACTTTCTCCTGCATATTTGTTGTTGTTGGGCGGTTGGTTCTTGTTTTATTTGTTTGTCCCCATACTTTCTTGTTGGTGATTCTTTCCGACCGGCCATCTGATCTTCAGTATAGAGCGGACAAATGTTGATAAAAGTCTGCATCACAACCTGTTGGAAATATTCTTTGTGACCCGCCCTCCCGCCAACTTTCTGATCCGTATAGAAGAGATGACTGACTTGACGTTGTTTGTATTGAAAATCCGACCGAATTTTGTTGTTGATGCTGGCTGAGTGACGAAGATTTCCAGATTGGTTGTTTCAGGTTGATGATGAATGTGTTTCTCGCTCGCCTTCCCGATTCTCGCTCGTTGTGACGTCCTCATCCGCTCCGACTGTCTGTAGTTGAGACAGTGCTCCCTAGCTAGATAAGTGAGTGAATGAAGTAACCTCTTTCAGATTGGCGCCGGATGTTCCTGCTGTTGTTGTTGTTGTTGGCCGGTTGGTTATTTTCACAACCTCCGTCTTGTCTATGTTCACCTGGAGTCCTGTCTTGACTGACTGCTTCTTCGACCAGTTTGTCGGTTTTCGCTTGTAAGTCTTCGATTTTGTGACAGTGACATCAAACATAAATCATCCACGCGCAAAATCCAGGTCCTCTAGGTTCTTTATGTCGGTCGAGGATATCGCTGTCTTCTCGTTTCCCACTCACTGTGTGACGCATAATCCAGTCAGTCCACCACAATTAGGAATATCATTGGTGATAGATAATAAGCACCCTTGTCTGACTCCTGTGTTTACTCAAAAAGCTTCGCTGAGTTTTCCGTTGTGGATCACTTGACATGTGCCTTTATCTTACAACTGTTGAATAAGGTTGATGAATATTTGGCGTACGCCGTAGTACTCGAGTAATTTCCAAATTACTTTGCGTTCAACGCTGTCGAAGGCCTTTTCAAAGTCTATAAAGTTGAGGCGCAGACAGGTTTGATTACCATTCCATGCTTTGTTCTGTGATGATGATGATGCTCAGAGTTGCAATTTGGTCAGTACATGATTTACCTTTCCTGAATCCAGCTTGTTGTAGTCGGAATTCAAACGACAGAAATAAAATACATGTATTCATGATCTGAAGTTCATTTAATCTTACAATATCTACAGAAATATAATTCCAAATGAATAGGAGAGAAGAAAGTAAGTGTCTCAAATGTTGGCTTTACAGGGATTTGATTAATTACAGGTTTTTATCTCGAGATTGCGTGCGTCAGAAAACTATTTGTCTATGCTGGTGAACATTTAACAGTTTGTTTATTCAAACTGATCTCCATTGGCGGGTAACAAGAAGACTGTCATTGCTTAATCATGTACTGGTTGGCAGAAGTTTTGAGAAATACGATCAGGCGTATTGTTGTATATTATTTTAACGTTTATTTACAGACGTTGGCACTGACTAAACATTGTAAATCCGTTTCATTAATGAATGAAGAATAAATAATCGTGTTGCCCAACTGTTTTCTGTTGTTCTGCATCGGTTACGGTGCATAGTATCCCACACATTAAGCTTAATCTTTTGAAACCAGCGATAGGTCCAGAATCTCTACGATCTGCATATCTTATAACATCAGAAAACTAGTAAGGGTATTTTAAGGCTGTTTCATCCTAGTTTGGGATTCTTCGGCAGTACGCACCCACTCATAACCTTGCAGTTACAAGGTGAACTTTGCTTAATTAATGAGGTTGGAATCATAATCTCGTATATATTATTGTAATGAAAGGAGGTATACCTCCTCCGTTGGTAAGGCTTTCATTACATCAAGCAGGGATGGGACTCAATGCCTCGCAGTGTGATAGCTGCTCGAGCACTTACGTCTCCTTGACAAAACATTAAGTCGTCTACAAACGATTTAGTATCCTGACGCTCATACCACAATTAGATATCGTTTCGACCCCTACACCCCAAAATCCGGAGCATAGTTTCATCTCTGGCATAACACCAGGTCTAATGGGCCTAGCCGAACACATGGTCCAGTCCAGACACCAAAAGGAATACGTAAGCTTGCCCAACCATCTGCCGGATACGGAATGTACCGTTGCAAATTTGGACGGATTCACATTTAGAGGCGTTCAGTCTTAATCCCTCAGATGGTAGCTTCGCACCATTGGCCTGAGGCTTCCCGCTGGCCACAGTGACCCTCCTACTCGTCGCCGCCACTCCGTGCCTGGACCAATTTAGCTCGCCCTCACACTGCTTAGGCCCAGCTTGCAGAAACGGCACGGCATAGGTCCATCGCTCGAGCACCATCCATTTTCAGGACTGGCTGATTCAGGTGAATGTTCTTGGTGTTGTCATGTCCTCTGAGCTGGATGATTTATTATCGAGGATTTCAAAATGAAATTAACACTGGAGAGATTGTCTGGAATGGTATCAAAAGGTGAACAGTTAAACCATACAGTTTCAAGAATACATCAGCGAATAAATAAGTAGAAAGAGGGACACCTGTTGAAATAAATGACAGAATGAATGATTTGTATGCTATTTCCCGGAGATTATTCTATTTCAATCCTTTGAAGACATCATTACAAGAAACAGTATTACGCAATGGACACAAAATGCTACTACTCTGAACATTTATGTGAAAGGAGAAAGAACAACCACAGAATTAGTTTCATATGCTCAACATGATGAATAGTGAGGAAATTTAAGCCATTTCATCAATAGTCTTCGACCAAATATGCCTTTGATGGTGTACTTGATAACATGCCTGAGTTTGGCAACCTTAAATTTCACAAGATTTAGTTTTGATTACTCAATGATGATTCGTTTTACCAGTTGGTAATTAATATCATGTGTGTACACCTTAATGGTACTCATTCAATCCATTCAGTCAATGTGGTCATCAAACCAGGAGGGTCCTCATCGTGATGTGCTTTCATTTATTATTAGACGCTCGAAGGCGATCAGTAGGAAGCTTACCTTTATTCCTGACTGACCTACCTTTCTTATTTAACAGTTTGGTTTTTATCTTAGTATACAGTCGGAAATAATACAAGTTTTCTTAGAGCACGGAAAATACCCATTGAGTCATGAAGAGAATAAAAGACAGATTCAGCGAAGAAAATTTTCTTTATCGACGAAATCATCTTCAGAGGCTGTACAGTCGTATTTATACTTAGAAAAATGCATAGTGGTCTATTACTGAGTAATAGGGGGTGACATAATTGATGTAATTAATCATAAGTGGCTTTAGAGGTGAAAATTAAAAGTTGTAAATTACATGGTACTCGACGGAACAAAGATAGAAGTTAGAAAAGGTTAAAATTGCTCTTAAGTGAGAATAAAGTTATTAGAGTGTCAATTTAACAAGTGTGAAGAAGGTGTGAAAATATATGAAATTGATAATAGTGAATTAATTATTAAAGCAAAAGCAAACTAAAAGTAAAATTGAAGATTAAGAACAAAATCAAAAATATTTTACAGGGAACGATAAGTGAAGAGGTTAAGACCAAGGTAGAATAAGAGACTGGACAAACTTTTTCTGTATACAGAGATCAGGGTTGTATTGATGTATTGCCAGCGCCTCCGCCATACACAAAAGCCGGAACCTGACGCCCTTTGTACAATTTGGCTTCACTTTGTAGATGATGTTGAAAGACGACTCTGGTGGAGCTATGTGGCCTGAGTTCACCAAATGCTCGAGAATTGAGCTAGTAATTGTCTTGTATTGTCCCTTTGCTAACCATGGTGGATAATGTTCAGCGATGCGTTTGGAAAGCGTGTGCTTTGTGCGGCCAATATAACTTGCTCCACACTAGCATGTGAAATTATAAACACACATTGAGGTGGCCCAAAGCGGCAGTTTATCCTTGACACATCCGTTGATCATTCGTCGGCTGTAGAAATTGATACGTAGTTCAGCCATAAAGAAGGCTTTCCTCAGTGATCTGCGTAAGCGATTCTTAAAGATCTCGGCTGCAGTATCACCTTTAAATTCAACACTCATAAAGAGCAGTTTCTTCGGCACAGTCTGAATTCTTTCAGGCTTTTCTCTTAACTTCATGTTTTTCTCGATAAATCTTGGAGGATATCCATTCTCTATGAGAACTTGTCTGAGTCGCTCCAATTCCCCATCGATTGTATAACTTGAACAAATGCCATCATGCCATCAAATTCACGTCAGATTCAGAGATTAACTCGGAATTCCACTTCTTGGATGTTTTTCTAAAGAGGAGATCCGATGGCTCTCTTCAAAGATCGATCTACAGGAAACCAACATGGAATGGTCAGTACACAAATTTTCTTAGAGCATCTGGATTCAAATGATGGTTTACGAGCTCGCCTTGAAACCAGAAGGTCGTTGGTTCGAACCCTGGCAGCGAATGCGTACCGCTAAGGAGTCCCAAACTAGGACGAAACGGTGGGCTCTCCAGTACTCCCTACAGGTTTTCCAATGGTTCCCTAACTGATATCAGTTCATGATGAAATCCTCCAACCAATCAAACAAAATGTCTATAAAACCAATACTTGAAAAATGATGAGAATATTTCATATACCTATTCCCCTTTATGAATTGGGAAAAAAGCAAAAACACCCATAAACGAGTAGTGGTCAAAACTCTCTTTCATGGAGTCAGTAGATTATGTTCCACAGAAATATTAGTGGAAAAATTTCTGATTCTCAGAAAGATGTTGAAAGACAACTTCTAATCACAGAAAATCTTCAACAAGTATGAAAAATGTGAAAGCTTAAATGTCAAAGAAATCACAGTGAGAAAAATAGCCTATCTTCATTGAACTCGATTTTAAAGGTGGCAATATTACAGGAATAGTTAACAGAAGATTGAGTATCTCACTAGCCTGAACCTATTCAGCAGCTAAGTAGATTCCCATTTATCGAACAATATGTAATTTAGTACAATCAAAAGTCTACAGATAGACTTTTCAGGTTAACTCCAACTGTATTTATAAATTTGCATGCCACTGAGATACCAATGACATCAGCATCGATTTCTTCGACATATGCCAATAAGCCTAAGCCTAAAGGGAACAACTAATTACAATGACATTGCCAGGCATCTTGTTGACACGGTCCATGAGGTGGATAACATAAATTCTTTCAAAATTATCAATAAGTAAAATGACTCATTTGTCCTCAAGTTTACGAAAGCAATAGCTTTCAAGGGCCTGAAACCCGATTTATCTATTCACTAAGAAGCTGTTATAAGCCTTTCCTTGTCCTGATAACTGGATGTTTCTGCTCACCCTCTTTTGGGGTTGACACCCAGGACCTTCCGGTTATAAGACAAGCTCGTATATCGTACAGCCACTGGGACCCAATTCAACGGCCAACACAAGAATTCTAACTTCTATCAATTTATGACTTGCTACAAGCCGGAGTTTCCTTTAGTTCTAGTGCGAAGTCGTGGCCAGTGAGGTCCACCCAGTCAGGAGTGAGGATGGATTTCCCACCGATGAAATTGTTTGGTGATTGCACTAAATGCATCACGAAGTGGTAGAAGTTAGAATTCATATGCTGGTCATTCAGTTGGGTCCCACTGGCTGAATGTTATACAAGCTTGACTTGTAACCGGAAGGTCCTGGGTTCGAACCCTGACAGTGGGTGCGTAATGCCGATGAGCTGCAAACTAGGATGAAATATCTGGTTGTCCATTACTCCGTTACTGGTTTTCAATGATTCTCTAACTGATATCAATCCGTGGTCTAACTCGAAAAATAAATCAATTCCCTACAAATCAATTCTTGAAAGGAAAAGACTTTGACATGCGTTTCACTACTTTATATCCATTTTCAGTAGTATAAACTTGCTTTTCAAAAAATGAGACTATAAAATTAAAAAAGTGATAGGCACAAATTTTAGAAAACATCCCATAGAATAATTTAAAGGTATACATTTAACAGGAAAAATAATGAGAGTGGAAATGAATTATTAATAAACATACTTTATCCAACTGAATTTGTACTCTATTCTTAGCATCCAAAATTTCTTGCACACGTTGTGATAAACTTGCATTAGTTGAAGACCATATATCACGTATTCTACTAAATACCGAGCCTAAACAATGTTCTATTTCTTCGCGTATTGATTGGCTTGTTGCACGTTCAGCTTGAGAACGTTTTAAATTAGCACTTGTATGTTCAACCCATTTTTCTGGTACACTCATCCTAATATTGTTCATGCGTAAAACAAATGCAAAAAAGGAGAGAGAGATAGTTTAGACTGGTTTCATTTAGAAACGATCAACCAGCTTGATCTCGTAGCCTGAAGGCCATGGGTTAGGTGCCTTAAGGGGTCGTGGGTGAACACTAATGAGGAGTCTTAAAATAGGGTGAAGCAGCTGTCCAGGGCTTCCGAATTCCCACTAATCTCTTTAAATAACGTTGGCTGGCGGCGAAAATCTAAGAGTTTTAAAATTTTAATGTCATCTAAGCAACATGTTATGTGGAATTCTATGACAAAACGATAACGTTTCAACAGACCTTAAAATCGACTATAAAGATTGATAACAATGTGAGCAAGATACACGTCATGTAGACTGAAATAACATTACAAGCGATGGTTATATGGACTAGCAGGGTGATTTAAGTCAAGAAACAGCAGATACCACAACTGGAAGAAGCATTAGACGCAGAACCTCTAGAAATTAGGACGTGGACACTTATATTTAGCTGTCATACTGTAAAATCTTTTTCATCTGTCATTATACTTTGCTTAATTGAAGTTATCCACTAAAAGTCATCATTAGTATTCATAGTACAGTTTAAATAAGCATCCAGGTTAATTTGAATAGCTCTTATTAACACTGGAATAGGGTTACAGTTATCCATAAATATTCATTTTCCGTTTGCCTTTTTTGTTTTGACTTTGCTTTAGTTGGCAAAGTTTCGGTTTTCAGTTCATCTTCAGGAGCAATTCAGGCAGTTTTCACTTCTTCTCCTTGTTAATAATTTTTAAGAATTATTCAAGTCAAAGATCCAAATCAATGCTTTAACAAACAAGTCCAGAGAAAAGGCATTCAGCAGCTTTTTAAGAAAATACTGCTGTTAGAGTCATAAGTATGCCTAATGTTCTGTTTTTAGTGGAGAACAACAAATAACATCAATCATCATCATCATCATCAACGGTAGAGATTTAACAGAGGTTACCTCCTTCACTTATCCATCTAGGAAGCACAAGCTAGTGGAACAGATGAAGGTATCAAAGCCAGCCAGAGTCGGAAAAGTAAGACACACCTCCATCAGCCTGAAAGCAATTTGGAAATCTCCTCCTATCACTCAGTCAGCATGAAGAACAATATTTGGATTCTATTGAAAACAAATGTCAGTGAAGTCAGTCAGCTCTTCTGTCTTGGTCAGAAACTTGCATTTCGTGTGAGTCACGATAAGGATTTCCAACAAGTTAGAGATTTTTATTAAGAGCTGCCAGCTTCGCTGGCTGGCTGGCTGGCTCCATACTGAAGATCAAATGGCCGGACAACTGACCAGAAAGAATTAGCAACAATAAACTTTGGCTGGCGACAAACCAACCAAGATAATCGACAGCTCAACAAAATATAGCAGAAAATGGACATGGATGGATCGAGCATACGTTGAGGAGGCCGTCGAATGACATTTCGCTCAACGCAGGCTAATGCTCGAGTGGAATCTTAATGGGAAGCGACGAGTGGGTCGATGCGAGGGTGGTATGGAGGAGATCATATGGCGAGGAGGAGATGAGAGATTGTGGGGCTAGCCAGCTGAAGAGGAGAGCAGAAAATAGAAGAAAGCGGAGATGTGTTGTTGAAGGTTTACGCTCCACTCTGGACCTAACGAACTAATAATAATAATAAAACGTTTACAGCCTGCTGATTCCCAAGTTTCTATTCAGCTTGAAAAGAGAATAAACGTGGGTGGCAGCATATCTGATTACATGAGATAACTGTTCCTGGTTTAAATTCCCAGGTCTCAAAATGAACTCCTGCACTTTTGCTTCATTGGCTTTCAATCAAATATGAATTTCACAAAGGAGGCAAAGAAGAAATATCAAAATGCATTCATTGATCCTTCATGTCAGGCAGAATTTTATCAGACAATCTACTGTCGGTTAATATTTTATTTCAAGCTCTTGGAAGAAGTTAAAATGTCATGCAATGAATACCTCTGAAAGTTCTGTACATTATATAAACGCTGTTCAGAAAAAAGCTATTATAATTGTTGTATGGTGGCTACTTGAAGAAATTTGGATGTTTCTTGAAACTCACCAGTTTATTATTAATATTATTATTATTGTTCCCTTGGGTTCCTAGTGGAATATAGAGCTTCAACTACACGTCTCCACTTGCCTCTGTCCTCTGCTGTACTTTTCACCTGCATCCATGTTAGTCCATACTGTTTCAACTCCTCTTCACACAATCTCCTCCATGTCACCCTTGCACTGATGTCCCACTCGCCTCTTCCCTTTCGGCCTGGTTCCACTCGAGGGCTTGACGCGCGATGTCACCCAGCGGTCTCCTCAGAGAGTGTCCACTTAGTATCTCCACTTTCTCCTGCACATTTGTTGTTGTTGGGCGGTTGGTTCTTGTTTTATTTGTTTGTCCCCATACTTTCTTGTTGGTGATTCCTTGTGGCCTGGCCATCTGATCTTCAGTACAGAGCAAAGACACCTGTTGTTGATGAAGGTCCGCAGTAGCCTGTTGGAAATATTCTTTGTGACCCGCCCTCCCGCCAACTTTCTGATCCGTATAGAAGAGATGACTGACTTGACGTTGTTTGTATTGAAAATCCGACCGAATTTTGTTGTTGGTGCTGGCTGAGTGACGAAGATTTCCAGATTGGTTTCAGTCAGGTTGATGATGAATGTGTTTCTCGCCTTCCCGATTCTCGCTCGTTTTGACATCCTCATCCGTTCCGACTGTCTGTAGTTGAGACAGTGCTCCCTAGCTAGATAAGTGAGTGAATGAAGTAACCTCTTTCAGATCCCTCCCGTTGATGGTGATTAGCGCTGGATGTTCCTGCTGTTGTTGTTGTTGTTTTTATTGTTGGTTGGTTGGTTATTTTCACAACCTCCGTCTTGTCTATGTTCACCTGGAGTCCTGTCTTCACTGGCTACTTCTTCGACCAGTTTGTCGGTTTTCGCTTGTAAGTCTTCGATTTTGTGACACTGACATCAAACATAAATCATCCACGCGCGAAATCCAGGTCTTCTAGGTTCTTCACGTCGGTCCAGGATATTCCTGTCTTCTTTTTTCCCGCTGTTTGATGCATAATCCAGACCACCACATTTAGGAATATCATTGGCGATAATAAGCTCACCAGTTGATGCATTTATTTTCATCTAAGGTGTTAGTGACTTAAGATATGGACAGTACAAAGTAAAACAAATCTAATGACCTTTTACCCGGGAGATCTGCCATGTGAAACAGAGACTTTTCCTGGTGATCTTACGTAACAAGGTTGTATGAATCTAAAGTTCCTAGAATATGATCACAAAGATCCCTGTCCAAAACACTGCAAAAAATACTGAGTGGAATTTCAGAAGTGTAAATAAAAACAACTAGTTTCTCATGTGTATTCTTTAACAGAGCATAAAAATTATCTCAGGCATGGAAAATTATCATTAATATTCATCTCACATTAGAAAGAAAACAAATTTCATCGAACTTACCATTTTTCGAATTTCTCAATATCACCATACATTGAAATATTAGCAGATGAATTCCGTAGTTGATGTGCTAACTGATCCAGTTGTAATGCTTTAAATTTGTCTGAACTATCCTGCTCCAGTTCATGTTGAACAGCCCTACACAGTCTGAAAAAAAAATGAAGACCAAAACTCTGTGGATTGTTTGCATCACAATGATAGAAGTCATCGTGAATATTTACAATGAGTAAATAAAAATCCACACGAGGTTCAACTATTATTTGCTGTGTCATATAAAAATCGATGTGCAAGATTATAACTTATGATTAGATATTGTTGGTATTAGATGGTCGAAGGAAATCAGGACGAAGCCCAGGCTGACTTTGGTTTCGTGCTAGTCGCCACTCACCAGTCAGCAGGACGGATCTGCAACAAACTTAAAGGAACTCGTGTCCCTACTGAGATTCGAGCCCACTCCACCCAGTGCTGCAATGCGGCTCAGTAGTAACATCTCTGACTGCAGCACTGGGTGATGCGGGTTTGAATTGCAGAAGGGACATAAATCCCTCCACGGTGGCAGATACGCCTTACGGACTGGCGAGTGCCGACTAGCACGAAACCTAGATGAGACTGGGCCTCCTGCCGATCGCCTTTAACCGACTAATATCAACAAATCACAGTGTATAATGATGGCCAGCCACCTAGAATGGTTGTCAAATTGCGAATTCGGCGACTAGTAGAATTCAGTCTGAGCCAAATATAGTACTAGACACACTATACTAGTCACTGTCTAGTATCCAATCAAAAATAAGATTAGACATTCATGTCACTGATCACTTAATGAGAAAGCAATAGCTTAATCTGGCCTTTACAATCTACTTTAAACTATATACTACTGATTGATTGATATAAGTAGTTGTGTACCACTCACATCAACTAGTATCGCTTGCTAGACAGACAGATGGAGGTGATCAAATCACCAGATGTCCATTTCGCTTGACCAGGGTCGGGCTCATCAGTGGTGTGCCCTGTTTGACCCAGCTCAGAGAGCGGAATCAGTTCAAACCATCCATTTCCTAGGCAGCTACTCGGGAGAACTGGTGTGATACCATAAATTGAATTCAAAGTTTGCAGATTAGTTGGCCATTTACAATGTACACTGTTTGAATGGTGAAACTTCTCCATAGTTCCCTTTAGAAGCCAAAAATTATTCAGATTCCACCGTATGATTCCCAGACAAGCGAAACGGAAGTCTGAGGTTTAGATAACCTCAATCTGACTGTCTAACAAACACTACTGGTTGATATAATTCGCGTTCAACCACTCATAACCATGAATCAGTAGTATATACTATCAGTAGTATCAGACACATCACATATTGTAATCTGAATGACTTGGATCCCAAAGAAAACTACGATGGAATTCTACTCCTCGAACTATATGCCCTGCAAATCACCACCTAGTTTACAAATTGTGAAACTGATTTAAAGTCCAAGAATATTTTTTTCAAGTAATGGTTTTGTAAGGATTTTGTTTGGTCGGTTGGAGGATTTCATATTTCATCATGAGCTGACATCGGCTAGAGAACCATCGGAAAAACTGGTCTACAAGATCGCCTTGTAACCAGAACTTCACAGGTTCTAACCCTGGCTATTTGTGAGTACTTCTAAAGAGTCCCAAACTAGGCTGATGAAGCAGCCTTCAAGTACTCCCTGAAGGTTTTCCAATGGTTCCCTAACCGACGTTAGCTCATAATGAAATCGTTCAACTAATAGTTTTTTATTTTTATGTAGACACCTAAATAATACGTAAGAACCTTTTTTTATTTCCTTCACGTTCCCAGTAGAACATAGGGCTTCAAGCTAGTGGTTTGAAGGTTCTGTATCAGTGTTTTTAATTTTACAGGATTTACCGATTTAGCGAGGTAAAGGAGTGCGTGGGTCGGGGATCGAACCCCCGTAAGAACTTTGAGTTCCACTTATTAAATTTTGTATCTGGATAGTATTATCATGTATTTATTTGTTACACTATTATTATTACTTTGTTACACTACGCCATGATATTATATTTATACCTAACATTTCATGTCTTATTGTGTGAAATTTTCTTACAAACACTTAAGCTACTAACAAGTCAGTTATCAGTAGCATGAAAAAAATGTCAGAATGAAAGCAAAACAGTCAGCCATACATTATTCAACCTATTCTTGAAACTGTATTAGGACAAACCAAGAAGATTTTAGGCCTGGACATGGAGTTTTCGCTATATAGATTCTCAGTTTTTTTAGATCCATGAAAATGGACATACTTAAAAGAATTAAACACTTGCTATGATCTCATAACCTGATGGCGAAGCATTTTACTCTATCCAACTAGAAAGTACTAAGGAAATGTCTGGCTGTGAAAGGTATGCTAAGAAATTATATCGCATTAATGCGATCTATCGGTTCTAGCTTGTGCAAATGTGTAAGAGCTGCATTATGCTTTAGGTTCATAAAATCCTCACTAGTCTTCGTGTAATTATTCTTGCCGCAGTAAATATTCTTTTAACAGCTTCTTTTCAAATTTGTGATATTTTTGCGTCTACCCCTTGACTCATTCAGTGAACAGTGAAATTCTACAGGTTATTTTTGCATCGGCTGTTGCTAATGAACACTTTTGATTGTGATACCTTCAGATAATACCCATTTGCTTTCAACTTAAACAGTCCCATAAATGTGTGAACACAGTATTTACTAATACACTATACCAGTGAGAGAAAATCAGAGAGTACTGAGCAACTCTCTTGTCTAATTCAGGACTCTTGATCTGTACCCACTCACGACCCTATCGAGGATCTTCAGGTTACAAGATGATCTCTATGACTTCTCAGCTACTAGGATGGGTCCCAAGGGCCTACAAATTATAACTTCCGTCAATTCAGGATTCTTTGCTCGACGGCGTTATAGGTGTGTATACTCATGAATGGCGTCGGTGGCATAACAGTTAGGACGCTTGCCGACCATGCACATGGTCCATGGTTCGGTTCCCGGCCGACCCTCCCCTTGACCTCGCTAATCCAGAAATAATGCTGGCAAAGAGGAAAGGTTGGACATGAGGCTAGCAACCCCATCCTGTAAAATTAAAAACACTGCTACATAACCTTCAAGCCACCAGCTTGAGGCCCTATGTTCCACTGGTAAGGTGAAGGAAAAAAAACTCATGAATGGTACCCCTGGCTTTCAGCGGTTCTCTAATTTATATCAGTCAGTGGTCAAACTTGAATCAGAAATAAAATCCCTAAAATGTAATCCTTGAAAATGCTGTATACTTTTTTGGCTTTGTCTCCAAAGTCAGATTTATCAGAATATTTTCAACTTATTGGTTTGTAGGGATTTTGGTTGATTGGTCGGGGGATTAAATCATGAGCTGACATCAGTTAGGAAACCATTGGAAAACCTGGGAGTACTGTAAAGCTGCTTCGTCAGCCTAATACTCAGCCACCACAGGGGTTCGAACCCAGGACCTCCTGGTTACAAGGCGAGCTAGCTCGTAGATCATTAAGCCACTGCGACCCGATTCACTGCCCAGTCGATGAATTCTAGCTTCTGCCAGCCAGTTCACAACATAGCGTGACTGCTTAGCAATGTCTTCGATGAGCAATAATCCTCACCTTGGATTTATTGCTCACTAGTGACTGACCCTATTCACTCAGTTAATCTGGGATTCTAGTGGGAAGCAGTAACCAGTAGGGAACAGTAGGTTGGAGGTGGGGACAGTTACTCATCGAAGTAGACATTGCTAAGTGGTAGCACTGTGTATGTCATGAATCGGTAGAAGTTGGAATTCATAGTCTGACCATTGAATCGGGTCCCAGTGAATGGCTTAATGATCTAAGAGCTCACCTTATAAAAATATACCTGTGAAACTAGACCCTGGTTGTTAACGTGAATGCACATGACAACAATAAGCACGTGTGAATGATAGAGATGAATAAAAGACTGAGATTTAGTAAGAATTGAATCTTCATTAATTTTCTTATGTCTGTTATTGCTAGAGATAAGGTAAACGGTTGGATAAGCGTGAACTATGGGCTTATAAACAATATAAGCTATATAAGGTAGAAAGAGTACAAACAGACGAATATTCATCATTTATTATTTATTTATTTATTTATTACGTCAGTCTCCAAATAAGAAACCCAGTGTCTTTGAAATGATTGGCAGCTAAAAACGACTATGAAGAACAAAAATTATTTTTATTTAAAATGGTGCTTTCTACTGAATCTTTGAATTCAAATCTCAATTGTTCATTATTTCAATAAATTTGTTTTATATTAAGTCATATGAAATTTTATCCGTCTTCAGTGTGTCTTTTCCATGAAGGAAGAAGAAACCAGCCGTAAAATGACTTGAAGTCACTTTTAGTTTGTATAATTAAAGTATATACATTCTTATTCAAAATAAAATTGTGCCGGTGTGATACAGACAATTTTTTGCAATGGAATATTATTCTAACATATTCTCCTACAGTTCACTACTGCATTAGCAACCTATAACTTATTAGAGAGTCAGTAGAACAACTGGATCTCGTCTTTCCAGCTCATATCATTTATAGGTACAACGTTTTCTTTCCTTCTTTCTTCCTTAGAAACTCTACTTAAAACATTCTTCTTCGTTCTCTCACACTCTGTATATCTCGACCTCTTTGTTACCGCTTGCGCCAGTAAATATGCTAGTAGTATCTACTTTTCTAACACCTTCAAACATTCTGTTCAATTTTGGCTTTGCTACCGACAAGCCAATATGTTGTTGTGAAGACTAACTGAGATTACGCTTAATCTATGTAGAATTTTGTTTTATTGTTAATGTACAAGCTGGATGCGGAATACTGTAGTAAAATGCTGAGAATTCCATTTTGTATCACAAGTGGTGTTTTGGAATAAAGCTAATTATTATTATTAAAAAAAAAAATACGATATATCTTTTAGAACATTCTGTTTGATGTCGTTTAATGTAAGCTAAAATCACACGCTCAGAGATTGGTTAGAAAACATAAAACTTTCCAGTATTTCTTGGTAGTTTTCAATAGTTCTCTAACTGATATCAATCCGTGATCAACTCGTAGAAACAAAACTAGTCCTTACAAACCAACTATAGAACATATATAAATATATATAATGGTTTGATC